TATATATATATATATATATATATATATATATATATATATATATACACACACACATATATATATACATATATATATATACACACACACACACACATATATATATACATACATACATACATACACATACATACATACATACATATATATATATACATATATATACATATACATATACATATACACATACATACATACATACATACACACACACACACACACACATACATATATATATTTTTTCCTCCACTTATGACCAAAATTGAGCCCCAAATTTCTGTTGCTAAGTGAGACATCTACTAAGTGAGTTTTGCCCCATATTATGACCTTTCTCGCCACAGTTATTAAATGAATCACTGCAGTTGTGAACATTCACAGCTGTTAAGTGAATCTGACTTCCCAAGGACTTTGCTTGTCAGGTCACAAAAGGGGATTACATGCCCCTAGGGCATTGCAACTGTCATAAATATGAACTACTTGCCACACATCCGAACTCTTGACCATGGGGATGCTCCAACGGTCATAAGTGTGAATCATAACTCATTTTGTTAAGTGCCATGGTTAACTTCGAATGGTCAGTAAATGATCTGTTGTAAGTTGAGGACTATAATAAGCATGTCCCCTCTCTACAATACCAAGCATAATTCAATTATTAAGGCAGCAACCAACACATGGTCTGGAACTGAAGGGAAGGCCTCTTTTAGGAATGGCAATACTGAATTTCAGTAACGTCTTAACTTTCATTTTACTCCGGAGAAGAGCCCTATAAAGGGAACCCTGTTCAAACCGGGCAAATCTTGTAAACCAGTGGTTCCCAACCTTTTTTTAGTCATGCCCCACCTAAGCATCTTTCAAATCATGATAGCCCCAACCCCATAGAATGCTTACTTTGTTCAAAAACTCACGCGGAGGAAGCCTAAAAGGCCATTAGCTTGGTTTAAATAAGGTTCAAATTAAAAATCAAATCGGCCCCACTTTGGGAATCACTGCTCTAAACGTTTTTTGATAGCGGCGCACGTGTTGTAAAATACTCGCGAGTTTCAAGACCTCAGCAAAAAGAAAAAAAGCCGGGGGGGGGGAGAGGACAAAGCGACCGGGGAGGCCTGGCGCGCGCCGGGCGTCTGAAGCAGGCGGGGGTTGCGCGTGCCCGTGGCGAGGAGGAGGGGGGGGCTCCTGGCCCCGCCGCTGGCTGCAAAAATCTCCCCCCCCCCGGGAGCGGGAGCATGCAGTTGTTTCATTTGGGGAGGGATAGGTGAATCCCCTTCGCGCCCCTCCCGGAAGAATCGCGGCCGCAGCTTCCTCACCAGGCGGATGAAGCCGAAGCCGCGGTCGCGGTTAATGAAGACCTCGCTGGGCTCCCCGTAGCGCTCGAAAAGGCGCTTGAAGTCCTCCTCGGTGATGTCGGTGGGAAGGTTGCCGACGAAGAGGCGGCACCTTTGCGTATAGCTCTTCTCGCCGGGCTTGAGGAAGCTCTTAATATCGACCGTGAAGCCTCGGCCGCTGCCTTCCTCTTCCTCCTTCGCCATCGCCAACGCGGTGGCCAAAGCTTCGTTGTCGGACGGCTTCTCCAAACCCCTCAGCGCCTTCATCGGGCCGCCGCCCACCATGCTCATCGGAGGTGCCGACGCCGGAGAACTGTTCTCGATCCTCACTTGCTTCAGGTTCCTGTTGGCGGACATAGCTTGGGGTTTTCTAACCGTTACGGATCGCCAAGTCGGACGGAACGGAGGAGAAAGAAAGCGCACGAAGAGCGCTCCGCTCAATCACTGCTTCTTTCGAGTACCGTGAAGAAAAAGGGGAGGGGGGAGAAAAGGAAGTCCAAAATGGCGGAAAGATCACTACCCACTGAAGACTAGTAACATCGCCCCGCCTCTCGCTTCCTTGGTGCGCATGTGCACAAGATTTGAAAGGCTACCGGGCATCGTGTTCGAGGGAGAATCGGGATGCGCCTGCGCAATACGCTACCGCTAGAGTGGCAGAAAGAAGCCCCGCCTCTTTGGTTGTGGCATGCTTAACCACGAATTGCTGGAAAAATCACCATCAGCCGAGTTCACAAATTCATAAACTACGGTTCATAAAGCACAGTAAATTAGCTTATAATAGCCAGAATAAAGCAGAATATATTAATGGGACCCTAGAAAATATGAGATCTTTCTATCATTGCACAAGGTACAATTTGTAGATATAAATAAATATAAATATATTGTAGGAAGTTATCACCCAGCCCCCTCCCAGAAAAAAATGAAATATTCTAGGAAATATTGAAAAGGCAGAATATTTCTCTGGATGTGAAAAGGAAGAAACATGTTTTAAAAGACAGAATCGCTGCCTGCAGCTTCCTGCCCATCCCCCTTTGTCAATGAGCCATTAAAGCCTGAGCTAGTCCTTTTTCCATAATAAAGAGTTCTCCCCTTCAGCTTCAGAGTGATGGGATTAAGGCATGATAATATTGGCCCTTTATTCAACTCGCCACATGGCATCAGAACTCAACCAAACCTGGATTCAAAATGCAGCCTAGAGTTGCCCCTGCATGGGCCCATGGGAGTCTGACAACCAATCAGAATACAAGCTCAAGATCAAAGGCCAGAGAGGGCATTAAACCAGGGACTCAGCATCTCAGCCGGCCCTTTTCTTTCTCTCCACCAACATTGAAGCGTGTGATCAACTTTTCTGTTCAGGACTCAAGCCATGATGGTCCTGTCCACCATTAAAACCATCTTTCCAAGCAGCCTCCATGTCTCCAGTGTCTTTTTCCCCACTTGGAGCCGAACCCAGAAGGACATTTTTCAGCAATATCAATATTTATATTTATGTAATATAATAAATTATAAATATAACAAGATTTCGTTTCTTTTTAATTCCAGGAGACAAGTGCTCAGATGTTACTTCCAGCTGTTTAATAAAAAAAACAAAGACCTGTGGGCTGTTTAAGAATTAATAATTGTTAATTATTTCAAAGTATGGTCTAAAGTCCCAGTGCTTTTTCAAGAGGCAACTGGACTTTCTTGTTTTCTTTGAAGACGTTTCGCTTCTCATTCAAGAGGCTTCTTCATCTCTGACTGGATGGTTTAAGTATTTTGTCAGCAGAAGTATCAGATGTGGGGAATTGTATTCCAGAAGAATGTGATGAATTATTAATTTATTAGATGGTGGCTGTATGCTGTTCAGTCCGTCAAAAAGGGGACCCCGCTTTAGGCAATACGGAACGTCCTCAGTTTTGAAAAATTGCAATTATTGTCTGGAGATTCTTAGTCATTCAGGGCATACTTGTCCCAAAGGTGCTTTTTCAAGAGGCAACTGGACATATTATTTTGGGCAATAGCTAACTTAGATTTTCTTGCCTTTCTATTTCCCACATTATACAAATGCAAATGTTCCTGATAACTGATTTATTCAGGTTGAATAATTTTTTAAAAAGGAAAATAGGAGAGCAGTTTCTGCCCTCTAGTGGATTTGTCTTATTAAATATGAAGCATATTTTTTTTGCTCCAAGTTTAGGATTTGTAACAGATGGAAGGTTCATATTACTGTCAGTTTTATCTGAAATTTAACTCAGATTTTCACTTTGAGAGGATTAACACATATATTTTTATATTCTATCATTGTTAGCCTGGTATAACTGAGAGTCTGCAAAGTTTAAAATATACTTCAAATTAAACGATGTGCTAAGGTGCTTTGTTTTTTTGACTGGAATCAACTTACATAGATATAGATAGTCCTCAACTTACAATGGTTCATTTAGTGACCAAAATTACAAAGGCACTGAAAAAAGTGACTTTTGACTGTTTTCACACTAATGACAGCTGCAGCATCCTCATGGTCGAAATTCAAATACTTGCCAATAAACTCATATTTACGACAGTTGCAGTGTCCTGGGGTCACATGACAAGCAAGTCAATGGGAAAGCCAGATTCATTTAACAACTATGTTATTAACTTAACTGCAGTGGTTCACTTAACAACTGTGGCAAGCAAGGTCGTAAAATGGAGCAAAACTACTTAACTCATGCCTAACATAAATTTTGAGCTCAATTGTGGTCGTAAATCAAGGACAGTAGATATACAGAAAAAAACAATTAATAGTCAATGTAAATGTTCATTTATAGGAAACAAATGAACAAAGTACAGTAAATTATTTCTATTTGCAATAGTTCTTTGAAATTGTTGCAAATACTGAACCACTGAAGAGCTAGGTTTCTGTCAGTCTCTGGTCACAACATTTTCATCAACTGAACGATACATAATCTTATTTTATGTGTCTTTCTGTCTAAAGATACCTTATATAATGTGTGGGTGGGTGTTTTATTACAAATAAAGTCCTAAAATAATTGAACAAAGTTTAAGCATTTAAAGTTTTATTTTAAAAACACTTTTCATGATCATTTTAACCAATGAGACAACTAAGGCATGGCAAATATGCAATTCAAAAATTTCATCACTGAACACAGGTCTGAATAACGGAAACATGTTGTGAGTATTAATTTGGGGGTTACAAATAAATTATAACAAATAGGCAAATTCACAAATATAAGTCCCATAACAATGATTCCCTGTTACAGATAGTCCTTCCTTAACAACTGGTTGCTTAATAGCCATTCTTAATTACAACATAGAATATAGAATCATAGGGCTGGAAGGGACCTCAGAGGTTTTCTAGTCCAATCCCGTGCTCAAGGTAGGAGACCTTATACCATTCCGGTCAAAAGGTGGTCCGAAATGTCCATTAATTTTTTTAAACTTTCAGTAATGGAGCACCGACAACTCCATACCACAAAATAGTTACTTAAAACCTATCTTTGAAATTACCTCCCCAAATTCATGTGGTCACTTGGCAACAGCTTGCATTTGCAATTGGTTCCATGTTCCATGGTCAGATGATTGCAAATTGCTATTTTTTCCTGGTTTCCTGCAAAAGTGATTTGTTTAATGATTGTGGTGAATCACTTTATGACCAGCATAAAAACTGTTGTAAAGTCAAATCATGTGGTGACCTGATTAACAATCAACGATGATCAAAATTCCAGAATCAGTTGTATCAGTTGTAACAATTTTGGAATTGTTAATTGTCGTTCATTGAGAACTATTTGCTTGGCTATTTTAATTTATACGCCTTAGAAGATGATAAAAAATAATTAGGCAGTTTCTGTTCATAAATATCTACTCTAAAAGACGTAAGAAGGGTACTGGAATGGAGAGAAGAAACCCACGATGAAGTAGTGGTTCAGTTGCCATGAAGACAAAAACATATTCTTTCTTGTAGTTTACATATCTCTTTCTAGGCTGCCATTTTTTTCCTGACCTTTCATATTTTCCTTTACTTCTCAAACTAATTAAATGTACTCATAATGATTAAATGAGCATATCTATGTAGTTTCCTAGGCAACCATACAGAAGTGGTTTGCTACTGCCTTCTAGCATATTTTAAAAACTTTTATGTGTAGCCTACAACTCTTGCATTTTGGGGTGATCACCATCCAGGATGACCATCCCAACCAAGGTTAACTGGCAGTGGACGTATGATCAAGGTTTAATCTGCAGTTTTTCCCTCCCCTGCTGCCAAGATACTTCCACAGAACACCTTTTGTGACAGCTAGGAAAGGATCCTTCATGTGAAACTGGATAGTAGCAAATTGTGTTTCTTCTTCCCAAAGGGCAGGGAGTTCCTCAGAGGGCTCTCAGATGGCACTTAATTGAGAGAGAGGAGGATCATTCATCTCACAACGTTTAAAAAAACACTATGAAAACTAATATTGTTGTGAGAAGTTGGCTCAAAATTTTCCTTATTTTTTTCTGTGCCTATTTTTTAACCTCAAAAATCACCATTATTAAAATAATCTAGAATTTTAAAAGGTGTCATTAGCTCCTAGAATGCAGGAAAATAACCAGAGAAGTAGACATTCGCCTGGTAGATTATGATATAATCCAATCACAAAATCAACTGAGCATTGCCAAATCTACATGCATTTCTCATAATAGTTCCAGAGAGAGCAGACTTTATTCCACCAAAAATGTTAAAATGTGTTTCTGGACACCACTGTCAATCCCTAGATTAAAAAAAATATGATTACATGCAGAAGTGAGGAATTCTGTTATCAGTAGCCATCTTAACTGTCATTCAGAAATAGGCTTATCTGCTATGTGATTTTGTCAATGTATTTTGATCATACATTCCCTGATTTCACAGAATTATTAATGTATTTCATTAAGTGTTTATTTCTAGCTAGAAAAAATTCCTTCATATAAAAGACTCTTTCAGACTTACAACGTAAAAAGATATGACACAAAATGGGGTGGGTGGGGCAGGGAAAATAAATAAAATCAAGAAAAACCAGAGAGTAAGAATATAATTAAGGGATGTTGCAAGGATTAGGGTCCTACAACAGTCCTTTTTATTCACCATCTAACTGATAACCTGGGTTGCCCGGGTATTTATTTATGGGGGGGGGGGAAATGTCCCGATACAACATAATTTCCTTTTACCTATTTAATTAACCACCTCATCCACACCTGTAACAGCTCTCAATTGTGCAGTATGGAAAATCTGTCCCCAAATAGAATAGGATACAGGTAGTCCTCAACTTACAACCAGAAACCAAGTGATGAGAATCACTTGGAACCCCACAACTCCCCCAATATACTTACAACCCAGTTCTGAGGTTCCAATCCAATAGCTTCTCCCTCCATAGTCACATGACTGCATTTCAGGCATTCGGCAAAAAGCCCACATGTACAGCTGTTTGCAGGATCCCACAATCATGAGATTTCAATTTATAATACTTTTTCCAAAAACTGGAATTTATTTCCAATTTTTGGCAAAAATGCTCCATAATAAACAATGGATT